TTTCCTTCAGCTAAGTAGATTTTAAAAACAGGTTTTAATTAGTTTTAACCACCTGTGTTAAGTGTTAAATGGTCAGCAGCCATTTCAGAGGGCATGGTATTCACATTTTTAGGACATAACCACAACTATTTTGGTTGCAAAATAATTACTAATTTAATAACTACTGAGTATGTGGTCTTTTATAACTCAAAAGCCATAGGTTGCATTAGAATTCACTCTTGGTGTTTGTACATTCTTCAGGTTTGATAAATGTATGACTGTATTTACCTCTGTAGTATACAGAATAGTTTCACTGCCTTAGGAATCTCTATGATCTGCCTATTCATCCTTTCCTCCCTTTTAACCACTGGCAATTATTGATATTCCTACTGTCCATAATTTTGTCTTTTCCCAAATGTCATATAGTTGGACTCATATAATATGTAGCTTTTAAAACTTACCTTCTTTTAGGTATATGCATTTAAGGTTTTCTCCAGGTTATGGCTTCTTGGCTCATTTTCTCTTAACATTGAATAATATTTCATTGTCCGAATGTACCACAGTGTATCCATTCATCTACAAAAGGATTTCTTATTTCCAGATTTTGGCAGTTAGGAATAAAGATTCTGTACATATCTACACGTTTTTGTGTGGATGTATTTTCAACTCATTTGCGTAAATGATGAGTGTAATTTGCTGGATCACTGGATCATATGGTAAAAATATGCTTAGTTTTCTAAGTAGCTGCTCTGCAAATTGGTTATTCCATCTTGCCTTCCCACCAACAATGTTCCTGTTGCTTCATATCCTCAACAGCATTTGGTGGTGATAATGTTTTGGGTTTTGGCCATTCTAATAGGTGTGTAATGGTATCTCACTGTTTTAATTTGTAATTCCCTAATGACATGATGTTGAGCATCTCATCATATGCTTACTTGCCTTCTGTATATGTTCTTTGGTGAGATGTCTATTCAGTTTTGTGCCCAGCAGTCAAGCTCCTTGGTATATACCCAAATGAGTTGAAAACTTAAGTCTTTTTAAAATAATTCTGATATTCTTCTAATGGATTGTGACTAAAGTTAACTTTGCAGGATGGGTGGTGGCATTTTGAAAATTGAACTCTGGAAATATACAGGGAGTTTCTGTTTTTTTCTTAAATTTCAGGTAAAAGTGCTGTTTGTACGCAACCTTGCCAATACTGTAACAGAAGAGACTTTAGAAAAGGCATTTAGTCAGTTTGGGAAACTGGAACGAGTGAAGAAACTAAAAGATTATGCTTTTATTCATTTTGATGAGCGAGATGGTGCTGTCAAGGTAAGTAACGAGGAATTGTTATAGGCATGTAAAGTAGACTATTCTAGAATCAGAATGTTTTTTTAAAAATTGAAGGGAAATCTGGTCAGGTAATCTACTCATACTGTATTGTCCTTAGCAAATTGTGCAACTCACTAAACCAAGTAAAAAAGACAGTCAGTTGAAGGGCTGGATCTTTAAATAAAATCTAACCTATTTAATCTTTTTAATGTTAATGGTAAATGGTTTTACCCCCCTCACACACACTCATGCTCCCCTCCCACTGTTGTCCATGTCCATTGGTTTGGCCTATATACATGTATACAAGTCCTTCGGTTGATCTCTTCCCCTTACCCCCGCCCTCCCCTACTTTCCTTCTGGGGATTGATAGACTGATAGCTGTTTCTCAGTCTTTGGATCTGTCCCTTTGGTAAATGATTTTTTTTTTAACTTCAAATGGGTCATAATTGTTTTGAAGGCCTTATATTGATCAATATGTAATTTTTTAAGGCTATGGAAGAAATGAATGGCAAGGACTTGGAAGGAGAAAATATTGAAATTGTTTTTGCTAAGCCACCAGATCAGAAAAGGAAAGAAAGAAAAGCCCAGAGGCAAGCAGCAAAGAATCAAATGTAAGTAAAAGTTGTATGCATTTTAATTGTTGGTAGATTAACTGGTGAATAATAGGTGGTGCTCAAACCTGTTAGATCCGTAACATGTCATTACCTTTTAAAGAAACTTGAAAGCTTTGAGGCACAGAGAAATGCCAAGAACCTCAAGAAATGTTTATTGCGCTCTTGCTAATGACCATAATGTGAAAATAATCATAATTCTAAATAATTGGAATTTATATAATAAGTGAAAGTATTTCTTGCCGAGGTTCTTGTTCCAGCATTAAGAAGGGTTCAGGAAATCTGGAGTAGGTTGTGCGTAGATTAAATAGGAGTCCAGAAACGAAGCATAATTTTGAAAGGCATTTGGGGGTCAGAGGAGCCTAGTTTAAGGGAAACTAAGATCTAAGTTCTAAGGCAGTGATGGCGAACCTATGACACGCGTGTCAGAGGTGACACGTGAACTCATTTTTTTGGTTGATTTTTCCTTTTAAATAGCATTTAAATATATAAAATAAATATCAAAAATGTAAGTCTTTGTTTTACTATGGTTGCAAATATCAAAAAATTTCTATATGTGACATGGCACCAGAGTTAAGTTAGGGTTTTGCAAAATGTTGACATGCCGAGCTCAAAATGTTTGCCATCACTGTTTTAAGGTCTCCTCGTCTCAGGACCTCATGCTTTTTATTAACACAATTTGTCCTGGGGCGAGGCAGCGTGTGCAGTCCTGAGCGGGCAAGTGCGTTCCATTAGCGGCCGGCCCAGTGCTCGCACGTGGAGGTGAAGTCATCAGAGCTCGCTTTCCCGCTAGCCTGAGCCCCCCCGAGCAGCTGGGGATGAGCTGGGAATCCCAGCGGCCTGACAGCCATCCTGGTCCTCCTTCTACCCACCCCAGTTCCCCCGTTCACCATCACTGATCCATCAACCCTGCAGGCTGGTGGCGAGGGACCAAGAGGTCAGCCATTCCGCTGCTTGCCAATCCCCAGTCCTGCTCTGCCACCACTCACCCACTTCCTCGTGGTCCCCCCGCTCACCTGCAGACGAGGGGTGGGGACCGAGAGGTGGTCAATGCACCTCACGGAGACTTCTCGAGCGGTCGGTCGTTCCGGTCTTTACACTTATGATCCCCTGGCCTTTTATTATGATTGGTTGGTAATTGATTTATAAGGATGAAAAGGGCGTAATTGCTATTTATAGCAAGAACAGTAATTATTGTACTTCTATACATATATCAGGCCAGTATTATGTCCATTGCCTCTTACAAAATAAGATATCTATTTCTGCAGTTGGTTGTACAGTTAATGCAAATTGGCAAGTTCTGAGCCTCAGTATTCAGTTTTAAAAGGGGATCAGATTAAATTATGTAAGATGCCTTATACCATGATTATCTAAGTGATCTATCTATATTCTAGAACTAAAGAAACATGTTCTTTATACTTGGTGGTAGTATAAAGAAAAAAGACAGCAAAGATTTTCAAGGGTGGGGGAGCTAATGATCTATATCTCAAACCCCTAAGTATACTCTATGCAGTGAACAAAACTTTCATATCTCCTTCAGAAGATAGTTAACTGCTTTTGGCTTATTGGAGTAGTGGCAGAATATAAGTGTAGGAGAAATATATTTAAAAAAAATATTTGAAAAGGAGAACAGGTCAAAGGGATTTCCTGCCTGTGATGCTTGCACTTTAACTTGCTGTAGCATTCAGTGATTTTTTTTCTTTTAATTTAAACTACAGCATACATTCCTATTTATTCCTCATTGTGTTCCTTTGAGTTGAGTACTCTGTTACCCAGTTTGAGATGAGGAAACAGGCATAGAGGTCAATTTGCCCAAGGTTAGTCTACACAGCTAGTAAGTAGTGGAACTGGATTTGAACCAAGGCAGTCTTGCTGCAGGTTTATCACTCTTTTTCACTATACCAGGGTTTTAGTTTGTACTACAATTATTTACATTTTGTACTGGTTAATTTTTGGTTATGAAGGCTGTCTTGTGCACTATAGGATCCTTGGCCTCTTCCCACTAGATGTCAGTAGCACCTCCCCCAAATTGTGACAGCTAAAACTGTCTTTAGACCTTACCAAATGTCCCCTGGGGGCAAAATTATCCACAATTTGGAATCACTGCACGACTGAATGCTGTTATCATATATTTAGAGATAGAATAAGGTAATTTATCAATTGTTAAGGCATTCATCACAGTGCAACAAAATGAACAATAGGAGCATTTTTTAATAATTCAGTTGGAACAGGACCTTAATGAATTGAGTGTAAAATACATGATGAATAAACATAATCAAGAATGAATTATTCTCATATGAAGTATTTTTTTACTCATTTTTTTTGGATTATCAGAGGTTCAAATAAAATGATAAATGCTTCTAAGTTGTAAAGAACTATGTAAAATTGTACTGTACTATTGGGAACTGAATTGGAATTTTTAAGGATATTTAGCTTTTTTAGATTGTATCTAAGCATATGTTGATTTTTTAATGTTTTCTCTTAAATAACTTTGAAACTAAAATTTACAGATTTGTTTTTCCCCTCACAGCTGCATATGTTTGCCATTAAATAGTAGTGATAACTTAGATCTAGCCACAAAGATTTTTTCCCAAAGGGTATCAGAGCCTATTTTAAGTGGGATTTTTAGTTTAATAAAAAGGATATTTGGTAGTGCTGAAATTCAATTATTTCTTACATTTGTGTTCACAGTGAAAATACCACTTAGAGAACAATGGAGAGTTTTTTGGGGGCATGTTCCCCCACTCACTTGAGCCGGAAACCCAGGCATG